GGTTGAGCTAGGCTTTAGGAGTTTTGGGTTGGGCCTTGACTAAGGGATTATGGGCTGCTTGAAATAGTTTGGGCTGAACTTCAAGGCTTTTTGCATAATTTTTGCAATTTGATCTCCCGTTTCCAATTTTCTTCAATTGAGTCCCCTTTCTTGAGTTTCTTTTCCCTTTGTTCATGAATTTTCTAATTTCTTCTTGAATTTCTTTTTGCATGTAGCATCTAAAACAAAATAAAGATATATTAGTCAAAGAAAAGAGAAATTTTCATATTTTTATATTTTTGATTTTTTTTTCTTTTTTGGTAAAAATTTGAGTTATGACACCACTCTGATTACTTAATTATCTTAATTATATAAAACAATTAGGTTAAATTGAATTTTAATATTACAAATATATTAGGTATGAGATTATGATACTCTATTTATTTTGGAATAATAAATATTTTTTATTTTATATTTAAATTATGAATTTATAGATAATTTACTATACTATCCTTTAAAATGATAAAATAATAGACAGGCCTTTTTATAAGATGAATAATAAAGTTAAAAGATAATGATAAGATTTTAATAAAAAATATTTATTCTTTTAAATATTAAAAAATTATAATTAATTTAAAACAAATTCTAAATAAAAAATTGATAATTATCATGGAAAGGAAAATGGTAGTTTCTAAGAAAAAAAAAAGGTGATATGATAACCATTGACGAGGGCCAATCCCCTAATTTTTGGATGGCTCCCCATCCATAAATGATTGTAACATGTATTATATTGGTTTTGCAAGAGATAGGTTAATGGTATATTTTTATTATAAATTTATGTAAAAATTATAAAAATTAACACTAATTTTAGTGTTATTGTCACGTAAATGAATTTTATTAAAAGGTTAATAAATTAAAAATTAATTTTTATTTTTTTAACATAAATTTATAATAAAAGTATATTTATTATACTTTTAACTTATATTTTTAAAATACAAATTAAAAAAATTCATGTGTTATATACAATCTATAGAAGACAGAGTACGAAACAATTATTTCTTCAAACAAACTATCAATGTTTTTCTAAGCAGTGATCTGTTTGTTTTGGGTATGGTTATCGCTAACCACATATATAGATGGGCTTACACCTACCAAAAACCTTAAACTAATTACAATTGTTAATACTTTCTTTTTTCTTTTGATCTTGGTTGTATAATGAGAGACAACCATCTTTCATCCCTTATCTCACCCCATTGCATGTCATGCAACTCGAATTGAGAACCTATTATTGACATCGAATTGAAGACCTCTTACTTTTAACCAACGTTTTAAAAACCGGATCGGACCGGCCGATTGAACTGGTCGGACCGATACCCGGTATTAAAAACGGTTCGGCTCAACATTTAGAACTGGTGGAGCGGTTGAGCCGGTCAAAACCGTTCAAACCGTTCGAACCGGTACAAACCGGAAAACCGTTCAACCGGACGGTTTAAATCCTTTGGAAGATTTACCTTAAATTTGCTACCCCGGAGGCTTGAACGCATGACTTCAAGAAGATTTTCTGTGACTTTTGCCACTAGGACGTTACCTTTTTGATTGAAATGATTTGCTAACAATTTTATTTATGTTATTTTTGAAAGAAAAGAATTGACGATGCCATCCAATAGAATCGAACTTTCTTCCTTC